GCGTTTAATAATTTATATCTTCAATTAACAGGATGAGATTATGAGTGAAGCAGAAGATATGGACATAGGGATAGGTACCCAAGGCCTCGAAGACCTTTCCCAGGCCTCAAACGTGCCAGGTTTCGATCCATCGCAGACCACTAAGGACAACGAACCATGTGATTGGTGGACTCCGATGAGTACAGTCCGGAAAATAAAGCTGGAACCAGTAGAAAATAAAGCTCCACCGCCAACCAAGTGGACTAAATGGCAAAGGAAACTTGAGCTTAGTGACTCACCCATGCCGTCTGATGGTTCTCCACAGTCCTCACTGTATTGGTTCAACGAAGAATCATGGGATAGATTCACTGAATGGTCTATGAACCCGACAACTTTAAAGATTGGTCCTACAGCCTTTAATATGACTGTAGCTACGAGGGTAATAGGTCCTGAAAAATGGCTTGGAAACGAGGTATTGCTTTCTTAATTATATAAGGTTGATTTTGGGAGTTTCTTTGAATACTGCATTGATTAATTTTCCATGTGAATATTCAGGAAATGGATGCGTTCATGTATATATGGCGAGTGAAGAATTCTTTGAGGCATTGGGCACCAGACCGTGTTGCTTTCATGCCCGCCTTTTTTGCCTTCAAGTTGAGAACGGATACCTCAGCTTTACAGGTAACAAAAAAGGCTATGTACTAGGCGATATTCTTCTAGCTTACGGAAGAGGAGAACTTCCATCTCATGGGCGGACTAATAGAGTATGGGGAGTCGATGTTGATCGTCTCTACTTTCCTCTGTTTGTCGGAGGTAATATTCATTAGTCATTTTTACAGGTCTTCATTTAGATCCATGTATTAAAAGATTTAGCAATATTCAATGCAGGTAATCACTGGATAGCTGTCTGCGTCAATTTCATTGAGAAGACAGTTGAAGTATTTGACTGCTTGCAGGGAAGGAATAGGCAATACGTGGAGAAGTTTGCTGTTATGATTCCTAGGATAGTAAAGGCTGTTGCACCACCTCAAAACAAGAAGCATCTACTCCTGGAAAAGTATTCCATCGTAGAGGTACCTCTGAAGGCTAGATTGAACAAGAGTTTATGTGATTGTGGGGCATATGCACTCAAACATCTGAAATGCCAACTGCTTGGTATTGACCTCAGTTTAGTGGATGATGAAATCATCCAAGGTTGTCGTCAAAAGATTGCTCTGGATATATGGGAGGCTGCAAAAGATCCCATTTTAATTGATTTGATGGCACAATATGTGCCTTCTAATTTTGAGTCATCTATTGTATTTGACCTCGTGGAAGACTGATCATGTGTCTTTGGGTTTATGTTTTAGTTTGGTTTTTAGCTGATGACACTAATTTGTTTGGTTTTTATAAAGGATTTATGTGACAATACTAATTTGGTTTTTTAATGATGTATCAAATTATTTGCTATAGTCAATCCGAAATCCTAACTTAACCTTTAACTAACCCTAAAGAAACCCTAAACAAACCCTAAACAAACCCTAAACAAACCCTAAACAAACCCTGAACAAACCCTACACGCTAAACCTTAAACTAACCCTAAGTAAACCATAAACCTCTAACTAACCCTATCTAAACCCTAAACAAACCCTAAACACACCCTAAAGAAACCATAAACCGTTAACTAACCCTAACTAAACCTTACACAAACCTTAAATTAACCCTAACTAAACCATAAACCTTTAACTAACCCTAGCTAAACCCTAAATAAACCCTAAACAAACCTTACACAAACCTTAAACTAACCCTAACTAAACCCTAAAATTAACCATAAATAAAAATATCTTTGCTTCATGTATTTACACAGATTTCCAGGATTCAAAGAGAAAGCACAAACGTTTAAGAGTAGGTTGTATTCATTATTTTTGTAAATTTCTGTGATCTACCTTAGGTAGAGTACGCATTATTTAGATATCGATACGACGTCGTTTTGCCAAATAGTTTGACCTAGTCATTTTTCTTCTTCATTCTTGCACGACAGAGAGAAACCTAGGGGGCGCAACTTGGCGATCAAAACAATCATGTCTTCGATCAATTCTCCGGCCGAATCAAGATACAGAGTACCCAAACAACGGGGTATTCCCACTAGATGCAGATGCGGTGAAGGGGCTGTTCTTTTCACTTCGAAAACATGGGAAAATCCAGGTCGATTATTTCACTGCTGTCCGATGGGATCTGAGAAGGTTAGTCCTTTAATCATATAATCCTAAATTCGGTATAGTCTAATAGTATGTTTGAATTTCATGGTGAAGGACAAAACACACTTGTTCAAATGGACGGATAAGTCAGTTGTTGAAGAAATTGAAGACTTGCAGGAAGTGGTTGACGTGGTGCTCATTGACAATATCCAGTTTCAGAATTCAATGAAAGCTTCAGAGATCCTGCTGAAACAACATGAGAGCAGAATTGGAGATATGGAAGATGCAATTGCACGTTTTGAAGCCAAGAACATCGAATGCAGTAGAGAATTAAGGATCATAAAAGCTTTGTTTGTGTGTTGTTTGGTGATGGTATTCATGTTCCTCACGTCTACATAATTGTCTTTTGATGATCACATTGTTGTTCTGTTTTTCTCTCAAATAAATGTAACACAATATTTGTTGGTGATTACCATCAACTTGAACCTAATTGTTGCAAACACCAAATCGTTTTGTCAAATACCAAATTGTCATAAAGGAGAGAACAACGAGTAAATAAGAATATCACAAGATCCGACCACACACCATTAACTAAATAGGAATATCACATGTTCCTCTCTTGTGCCCTGTCATACCACAACGGCTGCACTTGTGCTTCTTATTCTTCTTTGATCCTTGAGAAGATTTTATCTTGTCTTCTACTGTTTCATACCTTCTCTTCACTGGTCTACCAACACTCTTTGTTGTCTCTGGTGGTAATACCTTTGCAAGTTTTACTTCAGCTGGGACAGTCCATTCATGCTCTGGAACTGCTATTAGATTAATGCATTCCACATAGACGGTTCTCCATGTTGCAGTGGAGTAAACGCCATCAGTAAATCTGTGTACTTCCATACCTATGTCAAAAAAAACAGAGATCAAGTAATGTCTATGTGCTACAAAACACATACCATATAATAGGTCCCAATATCATTTATTTGCACTTACATACCTCGTGAGTAAATTGCTGGAATGGCGTGCCGGCAAGGTATTTTCCATATATCGTACTTCCCACATGTACATGTTCTCCTTTCCAAATCAACATGACAATCATATGTGTCTCCTTTCACAACCGACCTGTAATTGTCAACCTTGTACACCTGAAATCCTTTTGCCTTCACAATTCTCCTATCAATCTTTTTCTCAACCTTAACGGTTAAAGGATCCAGCTGCTTCGAGCTTACCATTCGACGCTCGTAGAACCACCTGGTCATCATTTCTCTTATGCTATCTATCAAAGGAATAACTGGAAATTCTTGAGGTGATCTCATAACAGAATTTAGTGACTCTGCAGGGTTATTGGTCCTAATGTCATACCTTGAACCAGGGAAAGCAGAACGAGCCCATTTTCTCACATCAGCTTCTTGTAGATATCTTCCAAGAGCAGGACACATATCAACAATTTCCGTGTAACGTTCTTGAAACTCACTAAACCTATATGCCCGTGAAGCTTTTTCAACCAAAGCAGTTAACCCCTTTGTCTTGAATTTCTTAACGACATTGGTCAACAAGTGATGAATGCATATTTCATGTCTTGATTGAGGGTAGGCAGTACCAAGCGCTTTAACAATTGACGCATTTCTATCTGACACAAAAGCTAAGCCATTACAATCAGCGATAACAACATTCAGTTGTCTAAAGAACCACTCCCATGAATCATGATTCTCTGAATCAACAACTCCAAATGCGATCGGATACAAATTGGAGTTACCATCTACAGCTGTAGCCACAAGTAGAACTCCTTTATATTTATTTTTCAGAAAAGTTCCATCAACAACAATCACCTTGCGAATGCCATTGTAGAATCCTCTAACTNTAGTGGTTTCATAGTGAGTATGCGTACCAGGATTAGCTTCTTTAAGCATATACAAATATTTTGGTATTTTTGCATAACTTTGATCAGGTATACCTCTAACTGCTGCAATTGCAAACTCACGAGCTTCCCAGGCGTGCCAATAACTAATCTCACAACTATGCTCCAGGCGCATATACTGGACTATGTCATTCGCTTTTGGGCCTTCATGGGGATCCTCAAATCTATGTTGTATCAAACTCCCAATTGTTCTTGCTGACGCCTTTTTCCCAAATTTGCTTCTCTTAGAGGGCGCACATGAATGAATTGCTACACACTTGTTGATCATGAAGTATGTAGACCCATCTAGACATTGCGCACGCACAGTCCAATTACATATTGAATCTTTACATCGAATATACCACCATTTTCTCGTCGATTTGAGAACACCATAATCGAAATTATTGTTCATCTCCCAAATTTCAGCTGTGGCCTTTAAGACAACTTTACTTCTGAATATTTGATCCTTCGTCACAAAAACATTTCGCGAAGATCGGCCATCCTTATCACCATCTCCATTGTTTTCACTCGTTAAACCAGCATCACCGGAACCATCTTCAGCGACACGCTTCTTCTCAGAAGAAATAGTTGACGTTTTGACAAAGTCTCCTCGATTATTTTGATGAATTTCTTCATCCTCAATATTACTTGAGTCACACGGTTCCTTATTCAAATAAAAATTGTATCGTTCCTTTTCTTTTGCAGCAGTACTAGAGATGGTGACAGACAAGGTTGTAGAAGAACCCTTCTTCACAGACATCACAAAATTAGATAGTTGTCGATCATTGCTGATTATAATAGGAGGATTCCCTCTTTGATTCACCATCTCATAACTGAACTCAACATTAACGAGCATATGGTCGACCCCATAATCCTCACACACCATGATTTTGAGTTCCTCCAATAGAGTTTTAGTTTCTATAGTTACCATTCGACCACGCCTTTCCTTATCTGCCAAGAAACTCCATTGATCACTGCAACTTGACATCCATACACCAGATGTAACATAGATTAGAACCATGTTGTTTGATAGATAGAAGAGGTGGTTATGTCGATGAGGAAAAGAGAGAGACAAAGAAGAGAACGAGGGAGAGTAAGATCGTGAGAGAGAAAATCGTGGAGAGAATATTTTTTGGAAGATTTTTGTTAGATTTGGTGTAGATTTAGGTAAGTTATTTTTCGAAATATGGAAGTTTCCATATTTACTCGATTTAGGTATAATATGTAATCTACGTTAAGCAGAGTAATGAAGGGAGGGTCGGTTGTTTATTCTAGCATAGACCTATGATAACGTAAAAGGTAGATCAAGTTATAACACATAATCCAAACTGGGTAGTCATTAGACTCGCGGTTATAAGTGGGAGATATGCGTAAAATAGACTATAGACATTTTGTTAGAATACTTTTTCAAGAAATCTACCGAAGGTACAATACAGAAGAATGATTTGTTTATGTTCTATACCTAAGCTACATCTATGTGTAAAACCTACTATCTGATTCCTAAACGAAGTAGATAGCTAGAATGGGTAATCTATCCTTGCTATAACATTAAATAAAACATGACTCCATAATTTATTTAATAAAAATTTAAACATCTAAATAGTCATACTAATGTTTACTAACACTTACATATTTTTTTATATTTTTAAAACTTAGTTTACTATTTTTTCTATTACACAAGGGTAAAACATGTCCAATTTGTCCAAAAATATCAAAAGTCCCATTTGGCCAAATAAATATTCAAAGTGTCTCCTTTTTCCAATTCTCTCTTTCTTTAATGCTG